TATAATTATCTGAAGTATAATAAAAGACTATATGCTTTATGCAATATTATTTTATTTTCCTAATCAAAGAATCAAATTTTTTGTTACATAAATCACGTTTTTATACCCTATCATATTATAATTAGGTATCATTTAAATTTGATGTTATTTTTTTATATATTAAGAAATTTAATGCTTTAATTTATATCTACCGTTTTCATTCTACTATTATTTACTATTAATGTTTTAATTTATTTAGAATATTATTATAATGCTATGAAAAAATTATGTATATTTAACAAAAGTTGAATTTCATGAGATCACGGAGATTTATTTGATCAAAAAACAAGTCTCAAGGTTCTTTTACTTCTTATATAAAGACTATATTTAGGAATCTCAGTTACTTCCAATTAGCATAAGCGCAAGCCCAACTGAGATTTATCGCTGAAAAAGCATTAACTTCTATGAAGCAATACTACAAATTTATTTAAACCGATATATAACAACGAAAGACAAAAATTTTATTAAACATTTGGATATATAACTTGCATATTTGACCAATACAAATTACCAAATCAGTCATGAAAAAAGTAATATTACATAATGTTACGTGAGGGGTGTGATTTTAAGGGTAGCACAATTCTGAAAGAGATTATTTTGACAGCCAAAATGTAACGTAATACGACATCATATGATTTTAAATTACTCTATCTAAAATAGATGTTTGATTTTATCCAACTCAATTTACTTTTCCGTAGATCTTACGAATACTGTTTTAAAAATTACCTAAAATTTTTACTTCATGGCTATGGCAGACGGTCCAGCGCTAAACGCCCAAATTGTTCGTGGACTTAATGAACGAGTATATGATAAGCGTAAAACCGCTGCATTAGAAGTTGAAAAGTAAGCATTATTGATTTCCAAGTACACTATATGCGTCCTTTAGGTACGTATAGTTAGATTATTAAATATTTTCCGTAATATTATATATATTTAGGCTTATTCGTGAATACGCTGGAGAAGCTGAAAGTCCGAGTAAAGTTCAAAGAATTCGAGGAATTCTCGATAAACTTATTCAAGATTTCGCGTATTCGGTAAATCCCAATGCACGGAATGGAGGATTAATTGCTTTGGCAGCCGCGTCTATAGCTTTGGGCCCTGTAAGTCTTACTAAAATTACGTTCTTAAATGATCTAAACCTAATTAATAAGCATCCAACCAAAATTATTAGGATGTAGCACCATATTTGGATGATATAGTTCCTCCAGTTCTTGCTTGTTTTGCAGATCAAGATTCTCGTGTTAGATATTATGCTTGCGAAAGTATGTATAATATTGCGAAAGTATCAAAAGGAGAAATATTGCGATATTTTAATGAAGTTTTTGATGCAATGAGTAAGGTAAATTCTTATTTTTTTTTTTTTAAAAAAAAAAGTTCTTTATAATTTATACTCCTTATTTTTACCTTTTACGTAAACATCAATAATAGTTGGCTGCAGATTCAGAACTTTCCGTTAAAAATGGAGCCGAGCTTTTGGATAGATTAATAAAAGATATTGTAGCAGAACAGTCTACCACATACGTTTCTGTCTTAGATCATCCTATTTCACATGACGATCCGATGGAAACAGTTTCAATGCCACGTACAACTGCATTCTCATTACCTAGATTTATTCCTTTATTATCCGAACGTATTCGAGCAAAAAATCCATTTACACGCAACTTTCTGGTATCATGGATTACCGTATTGGATTCAATACCAGATCTCGAGCTCGTGTCATTTTTACCGGCTTTCTTGGATGGTCTTTTGCAATTTTTAAGTGATCCACATGATGTTCGATATGCAACCTCTAACGTCCTTGCGAATTTCTTGGCTGAAATACGTGAGGCAGTTGAGGTTAAGGAACAACAAAAGCAACAGGCAATGAAAAATTATTTTGTTGAACAACAACGAAAGCTAGCTAATACGTCTGAAACCGCTTTGGATGCAGGGGAAAGTATAAAGGATAGTGATGGTGATGGTGATGATGTTACACTGGTAAAATCATCTATTGATTCGGTTGATGGAGATTTCAACTGGGATGCAGTTTCGATAAGCGAAACTGAGGGAAGAGGGAAAGGTTCTTGGGTTCCTGGTCAAGGGGTTATCATTAATTACACTCGAATTGTTGAAATTTTAATGCCTCATTTGTCTTCACCTGGTACGTTTTCTTTAGCTGTTAAAAGTTTATCATGAAATTTTCATTTACCCGTTTTATACTTAATTCCATCAGAGGAAGAAATCCAGGCTACAGCACTAAAATGGATAAACGAATTTATAACGCTCGCTAAAGATGTCATAATTTCATTTACACCTCAATTAATAAGCGCCGTTTTGCCTTCGTTGGCCCATACAGTGAAACATATCCTTTTTTTTTAGGTATTAAATCATTATTAGTTACGGCTTTATTCCTTAACAGTATTGTTTACCTATCAAAACAGTCGCAATAGATGTGAATCGAAGCCTTTATAAGTTAATTATTGAAACTCCAACTAATCCAGCCCCAACTATTCCACCACCCTCGTATTCTGTTGCGACTCGAGATACTTCTACACATTTATCATCTAATTCATCCATGGATTTTTTAATGAATATGGGAAGCACCAAAGAACCCAACTATAATAATACATTACATTCAATTTATGAACAAGCTGATCCATTTGATTACCTGAAAACTGTTGATGCTTTGATGCATCAAGTTAATAACGAACACGAAGAAACCAGAGTTGCAAGCTTGGATTGGCTTTTAATGCTGCATAAGAAAGCATCCAAAAAGGTTCGGTCGGATTATAGAAAGCATCATTTTGTAATAACGACATCAAAAATGATTCCGCTTTAAATAACTTTATAGATTCTTGCAATTGATGATGGTACTTTTCCAGTATTGTTAAAGACTCTTTCAGATCCATCAGACGAGGTTAGAATTAATATTACCTTTATTTGAACTCCTTCAATTTTTAATATTTATAATTGAAACATTGTATTCTTGATTGTATTTAGGTCGTAAAACGTGATCTTCAACTTCTTGCTCAATTGTCTTATAATTCGGAAGAATACTTTACACGCTTTATGGTTGATTTGTTAAAATTATTTAGTACCGATCGACGATTACTAGAATCAAGAGGTAGTTTGATTATTCGGCACTTATGTATGAGTCTTAATTCGGAAAGAATTTACCGTAGTTTTGCAGAAATATTGGAAAAGGAGGAGGTAAATATATATTTGTATTTATTGTTTGTTTCTGTTTAATTATGCTTTGATTTCGACCACATTATTTATTATTGGTTATAATAAATAGGAGATAGAATTTGCTTCCAGCATGGTGCAGAACCTTAATAGCATTCTTATCACTTCCCCTGATCTTTCGGATCTGCGAAAGAGACTCAAAAGCCTTGAAACTAAAGACGGGCAAATGTTGTTTACTGCTTTGTACAAATCTTGGTGCCATAATCCTGTTGCGACATTTTCATTATGTTTATTGGCACAAGCATATGAGCATGCGGCAAATTTATTACAAAGCTTGTATGTATTGACAATTTGACATTATAGAATTTAGATTCATCATAATAATTATTTAAAAATTTTTTTGGCTTCATGCTTATTAGCGCCGATTTGGATATAACTGTAAATCTTCTTATTCAGATCGATAAACTTGTCCAACTATTAGAATCACCAGTATTTACATGTATTTATGAAAAAATGTACTATTATAATTATCTGATAATGGATAAGATATTAACATTTAATTAATTTCAGATCTCCGTTTACAACTTCTCGAACCAGACAAATATCCTTACCTTTTTAAATGTCTATATGGTTTGTTAATGCTTTTACCACAGAGTAGTGCGTTCGCCAGTTTAAAAAATCGGTTGACCAGTGTTTCATCAATGGGATTCTTACATTTGATACCAAAAAGGTATTATATGTTATAAAATATCAAGTAATTTTGATTAAATATCTTTTTTAACAAATTTTTTTATTTTATTCGTTAAGTACGCCCACAGCGGATACCAAACGTTCAACAACCAAGTCAAATATGCCTACAAAAGATGATGGTATAAAATTCCAAGACCTTTTAACTCATTTTAGAGCTGTACAAACGAAACACGAAAAGAAACGCAAACATCATCATTCACTTGGACGTTCAAGCAGCCAGTCAGCACAAAATCGACGCGGTCGTGATCATCGCGATAAATCAACTCTACATTCAACAGCAGCAAACAAACATGCTGGAAGTAGTTCACAATCTCATAATAATGACCAAAAAGGAGGATCTGGCATCATTGGTGGTAGTAATCTTAACTCTGGTAGTCCTGGAATAATTTCGACGAGTCAGACTAAAAGGCGGCCGAGCGCTGCAAGTAATGCTAGTGCCAATAGTGATCATGGTGGAAGTTCTGGCTCTCGGGTCACCAAGACTTCTCGTTAATAGCAGCAGTCGTGGGATTTATAGGATATTATTATTTATTAATTACTCGGATTTCCTTGTAATTTTGTACTTGGAAAAACTTTTTTTTTTAAAAAAATTGAAGTCCCTTTTAAAGTGGGAAATCCCGAATCTGAATATGATTAAAACATTTTTACTGATTAATTTTACATATTACTTATTTTGGATTCATAATAAATTTATATAGGAAAATTTTTGTACTTTACACCCTTATGTAATATGATTGTCAAACCGAAAGTCGGATCATGTGATAATAAACCTTTTTAAAAATGTGGGATTTTTTTTGAATTTGCACAATAAAAAAAAAAAAAATTATGACAGAAGAATTTAACTTTGAAGAACATTCACATCGTAGATTTAACCCCTTAACAAATTCTTGGGTATTATGCTCACCACATCGAACAAAAAGACCATGGCAAGGACAGAATGAAGTCAATAATAATGAATTATTGCCAGAATATGATCCAAAGTGTTATCTTTGTCCTGGCAATGAAAGAGCTCAAGGAGCCAAAAATTACAATTATGAAAATACATTTATATTTAGCAATGATTTTGCTGCTGTTAAAATTGAACAACCAGAATACTTACCTCAAGAGCAAACAGGTATGTTTAATTATTTAATAGAAAAATATAAAATTTTTTTAATTAATTATTTTTTTTTTTAGATAAATTTTCGAACTTGTTACGTGCTGAAGGGGTTAGAGGTGAATGTAAGGTAATGTGCCTTTCTCCAAAGCATAACATTACCGTAGCAGAAATGACAGAGGACGCAATATTGCATGTAATTCAATCGTGGATAAAAATATATCAAGAAATGTCAACCAAACCTTATATCAATTATATTCAAATATTTGAAAATAAAGGATCAATAATGGGATGTTCAAATCCACACCCACACTGTCAAATTTGGTGTACAGAGACCATACCAGAAGAACCATCAAAAGAGTTACTTTCAATGAAAAATTATTATGAAAAAAATCATTCCTGTTTATTATGTGATTATATTTATCTTGAAACGATTAAATTAAAACAAAAGCCACGAATAATTTGCGAAAATGATTCCTTTTTATGTTTAACACCATTTTGGGCTATTTGGCCTTATGAAACTATGATCATATCAAAATCTCATATTATTAGTTTATTTGATTTGAATGATAGGAATAAATTACAACAAGATCTTGCTAACATTATCCGTAGAATTACTTGTAAATATGATAATGTTTTCAAATCTTCCTTTCCTTATTCAATGGGAATTCATCAAGCTCCTGTTGATGATAAAGATCATACGAATGATTCACATTTACATTTTCATTTTTATCCTGCTTTATTGAGAAGTCCAACTATTAAGAAGTTTTTGGTTGGGTAAGTAAAAAAAAAATTTATTTAATCATTTCCATTTCATATTTTAATTATTATTATTATTATTTTAAGATATGAATTACTTGCCGAACCGCAACGTGATCTTACATCCGAATTAGTTGCGGAACAATTAAAAAATTGTTCGGAGTTACATTATAAACAAAATTATTAAATAAATATATAAAATTAATTACAATAGTTATCGTTATAGAATTAGTATTATTTTTAGGTTTAATAATTCATTAGTTGATATTGTGTAAGCAGTGTAACGACTTATATAAAGCTCCGAAAAAAAAAGTTTTTTATTTTCACTCCCTTTTTTTAAAAAAAAAAAAAAAAAAATTGGTATTTTTACTTGGTTTTACAAGTTTTACATAGTTTATATTTTGTTTAATAAGAATAGTCATCATTTCCGTCGATACAGCACTTCCGTTTGTATTCCTCTGGCGATTCGCCAAGCCCCTACTATTTTCTATACTACCAGTCTCAATGAAGTCGATGGAAGGTATTCTACTAATACATTCGATCTCTTCCATGGATCAAAATTGTAATAATAAATGTATTCTTTAAATTTATTAGAGACCCAAAGAACTCCAGAGATCATTGTTAGCTGGGGTAAAGAAAGGATTCACCTTGATTTTGAATTACAAGGGGCAGGATCGCTAGAGGAAACTACTTTGAAACAATTAAAAGAACGTCTGAAAAAAGTTACTGGTGTACCTGTGAATGGACAAAAGTTGGTGTTTTCCGGAGGTATTTTTATAAAATTTTTTTTATGTTTTTCATTTCATATTTTTTTTTGGATCGAATTTTTGATTCATTTTTTTTTTATAAATAGCTGTAATGAAAGATAATACGGTCAAATTAGGTTCATTCGGACTTCACCCATTTTCAAAAATACTCTTAATTGGTAATAAACCAAACGTATGTAACAATAATCTTAATGAGCTTCCTACTTTTCTTTTTTTTTTTTTAAAGAAAAAATTAAAGATAACTAAATTCAATTATCTATTTATTTATTTAGGCCAATGATTTAGTTCAAACATCAACAGGTTCACCGGAAGAGCATGCTTTGATAAAGAGAATTTCAGAATCCATTGAAAAAACGAGAACAAAATTAATTCCACAAATTGAATCATTTGAAATTTCTATTTCATCCTTTCTTTCTGAACAAGATAATGATAAAGACACGACTGATACGATTAAATCAAAATTAGTGGAAACTCATCATTATATCGTGGAAGCTTTAATGCAAACCCTACTTACTTTAGATGATGTTGCTTGTCCTCCTGAATTTGAAACAGCTAGGAAAAAAAGACGGGAGGCTGTTAAATACACTCAAGATTTAATTGATAGAGTTGATGTTGTTAAAGAACAGTTACAAAGCTCTTCCTCTATTAATAATAATAAAGGATCTTCACCTTCCTCATAACTATTATATTATTTTAGTTAATAAATTAACAGGAACAAGTCATCATTTTACAAATTATATAGATTAAGTAATTTAGCTTTAAATATAAAATAAATAGAGATTATTTAATTCTCTTTTGATTAAACACACTGGTTGAAATTTTCTCATATTCCTCTTGCATTATTTGCACAAAGGGAATCTTCTGGTTGTTGAGATTCACAAAATTTGTTCATAACATTTGCTGGAAATAAATATTATATTGATAGAATGTATCCAATAAAGAAAAAAAGAATAAAAAAATTGATTTATTTTTAATAATAATAAAATAAAAATAATATTTCCCTTTCTAAAAATCATGATTTGGTAACGTGCAATGTTTGGCGCAGTATCGTATTATGGTTTCATTTTTTATTGGTTCTTATACTATTTTGATCAAGCGACATCAAAGCGATCATGTGGAAAAATGAATCGGGATGGAATAGTGATAACGTTACATACCCTCTTTCAGATGAATATACACAAAGTCCAGCTCAAAAAACTCTAACATTATTACATTCAGACCTCTCCGAATGATCCACCCTTGGACCATAGTGAAAATTTGAAAACTTACATTTACAGAAGATTTTACCACTTCGAGTAAAATACACCATGTTCAGCTTAAAAGCGTTTTAAACAAAACAATCGTAACAAGTGGTGTATGATTGCACTGGTAACCATCAGCTATATAATGAACCCATCAATTAAGCTTAAATATTAATTGCCCAATTTTCCAATTTTTCCAATCAGTTGATATGGTAAATTATGTCGGTTATAGAAATCAAAAAGTTGTTGCAAATAAAAGATCGAATGATTTTGCAGGAATCTTTTGTTAAGAAGCTGAAAGCTATATTTGAACAGACCACAAAAATTGAATCAAAGATCTGAAGGAGTTAAATATACAGAGGGGGCAAGGTTCAACTTCTTTGTACGGTACGAACTTCTAGATTTCACTGCAAATTTCAAATCCAAATTACCAAGAGTATATTTTATTTTGAGGGAATGTCTGTCTTTAGACTTTGCCGAATATTTATCTATAACTTAGATTGTAGTTTTAAAGATGCTAGTGATCGGCTTACATGGTTTCTGTATCTCTCACAGATCAAAAGAATTAGCTTCTTGTATGATTCCATTTTCATTCGATTCAATTTCATACTATAAAAAAATCTTCAATTTCTTCAATAACCATTCAAACTGAATTGATGGAGCAGAAGAATTGGCGAAAGAAAATCTATTCATCCATTTCAACTGAAAATACCGAAAAGATCCGAGATTGGTTATTTACCTTTTTATGACTTAAAACTAATACCGGGGGACGTAGACGAAAAAATTCTTATGATATTATATGCAACTTAAGCATTCTAATCGATGAACAACAATAGCAAAATTTGATTAGAGGTCTATTATTATTTTCTATTATAAATATGTCAGCCTAGTATTATTTAAAATTTCTTAATAAAATCATTATTTTGTAAACATTAATATATCCAAACATACAGTATCTGAATTTTGTGATTTTAGATATATTGAATACAAGACTTATTCAGTATTGTTTAGATGAAGAGATTTTACTGCACAGTCATGTAATTTTCGCTGAGGATTCTGAAATTAATGGTTTTTTTGATTGTGTACTAGGGGAAAATGTATCGTTCTGGTATAAAATACAATAAAATATATATGATCGATATCGTCTCAAATTTTGAGCGCATAGAATTATGATTTTACTAATTTAGACTCCAGGTTACGATAGTTAGGGTTAGGTTAGGGTTAGGTTAGGTGGTTTGTCACCGACGTGACACTGATGATGTTTCAATTTTATTTAAATTTTTGAGGGATAGAGAATTTTTTCGGTGGGTTAGGTTTATTTGTCACGCTATTGTATGTTACAAATAAGCATACCAGTCAATCGGAGCCTGGAGCCTAAATTCGTGTACCCATTATATAGTTCTCTGAATTAATAACTTATCAACTAAGTATTTTTTATCCTCGTGTGTACTTCCTAGTGTCCAGTATTTTGTTATAATCGGAATCAATCCTTAACCAATGATCAATTTATGCGACAATCGATTTCCCTTATAACCCGTTTCTGCTCTTTATATTGTGCAACTTGTATTACTAATTTCCTAAAAACAGGGAGATGTCCGCTATCTATCAAGAGATAAAACGCCCCACTCAAGAGCTACTACCTAAAGAGAATTTTATTAAAATACTTTCTCACATTAGCACGGATATTATTCTAACAAATCAAATAAATGATGCCCTGACTCTCTTTGATACAGATGAAGAGAAACGTAATTATTTGGTATCTTTCTTGGAATGTTTGAGAGCTGGTATGTTTCACACAAAAGTGTCTTTGTCATATTTGTCAATACTCACTAATCTTATGCTTTTTTTCTTTTCTGCTTCTTATCATCAAACCTGCCAATACGCATCCTGGGTTTTATATCCATGGTGTCATACTTAATATCTTTCACTGATTTTTTTGTTATTTAGTTTCTTGTGTCTCATATTCATTCAAATCTATTATACAGAGTTTCTTAACAAATGTGAAAAAAATAGATGATAGACTGAACATGTTTTGGCGAGTTTTAAAGGATGCATCTTATGGCGAATTTTCTTGTACTTTCTGAAAATACTCGATTTTTGGAAAAGGAAAATGGACTATCCACTGTGTTTATTCGTAAATGTTATCTTGATCTGCAAGTTGTTGTCTTTAAAAGAAACAAAATTCGTATAACCGGGAATCCAGGTATCGAAAAAACCTATTTCAGATACTATTTACTTTATTTGCTCGCATTACAAAATCAGACTATTTTATATGATAACGCAAATGAGGCTAAACCGATTGTCTTTTACAGAAAAAATGCCACTAAAAGCAATAGTGAAGACATAGAACCATACCTGAGGGACTCAGATGTTTGGTACATCGTAGATAGTAAGGAACTAAGTAATGTCAACACTAAAATAATTCTAATCTGTTCACCTAAGAAGAGTCACTATAAGCACTTTAATAAATATAGTGGAAGTACATGCCAACATGAAAGTGGAGAGAGATCAATACGTGCAGATTTTATACAAATATAAAAAAAAAAGACAGGCTGTATATTTGTTTAATAGGTGGAGAGGAATCCCTCAGTTTGTTTTGGAAAACGCTAATGACATAACTCACCAAAATAGGCTTGAAGAAGCAATTTCATGTATTAAAGAGATCATTTTTGATTATGTTAGTGAAAGTGTAGTAGGAACAGATGAAATTAATCACAAGATAGCTCATATCCATGTGAACCTTCCGATCAATTACAACGACGAAGATGATGATGAAGATGATGATGACCATGAAGTTGGCAATATCATGGCGACAGAAAAAACACTTGAAAAACTTTTTTCACATAAACTTTAGCTTGATCGAGATGGTAAAGAATCCTATACACAGGTAACTGTAAGATTTGCATTGACTTATTTGAAGCAAAGGGTGACTGATCAATATGAAGTGCGTATAAGAGAAAAACTTATTGCACAAATTAGAGTGGGTATAGGTAGTTCACTCTTGGGTAGCTCATTTGAGTATATTGCTCACAGAATTTTGCGTAAAGGAAGACATTTTGATGTTAGATCTTTAGACTCCTATATTAACCCAATTATAAAGATTCAAGTGCAGTTATCAATTTACCTCTACAGAACGAGATACTAAAATTCAACAAAAACAGTATTTATTTGATCAAGCTACAAAAGTATTATCAACAAAAGAAAAAAAAATTCCATCAGTTGATTTGATTATTGCTCTAAATCGGGTCTTCTAGATGACTATTGCAAAACATCATCCCATTAATCTGGCTGGTTTAAAACTTCTTTGCAACAAATTAGGTGACACATCAGGCAAGGATTTTATTTACTATTATTTCGTTATACCGGTGGTTCTGTATGATGATTTTAAATTGCAAACAGTTGATGCCAAGAACACACCAGTTTGGATTGGTAATCACGTATTTCAATATGTTTTAAAAATCGAGTTGTGATGGAAACGTATTTCAAGATTTGGAGATTTATTATGTATAGTAGTAAGGATTTGAAATGATTAGACAAATAGATAGAAAACTCCAGTATTACGTTTTACATAATTATCATCTTTTTTTATTCATGAAAATCAAGTGTAATTTTATCTATTATTTTATTTGTAAAATTAAAATTCGCTTTGTATAAAGTATATCATTCATATTAGCTTTCCTTAACTTATGGTCAAGAGTTAGTGAACAGAATAAACAAATATAGCTTTATAAATTACTATAAACAGCTGACTAAAGTTTCTATTATAGCAGATATGAAATAACACAAATGATATTAGTGACATATCACGTGTCATTAGTCCAGAACGAAGTATATTTCTGCATTTAGACAAATCGATAATAAGTGAAAAATTCAAATGATAACAAATGATAATCATTGGCTTTAGTTAAGTAAAAGCTTATAATAGAAAGATTGAATTTCTAATTTTGACAAGATATATGCAATAAAATCAGAGGTAACGAAAACAAGTATGGTATGGCCTACATACATACATTATCATTAGTAAATTATATTACATATATATATGTGAAGCAAAAAATGTGTTTGATAAACATACAGGTATAGGCAGTGATATACATTTTTGATGTTCCAGAGATTTGTTGTCCCAGCTATATGTTCCAGCCCTATAAAAAATTTGCATACGTTTTTTCATTATTATAAATAAGTTTTGTATACGTTTTTTGAAATTCTGTATCAC